GGGGAAAACTAGAGGGGGGGAACGTGCGGTGGCTGGGGGCAGTGAGACGCGCTTACAGCCGGTCCCCAAAATACCAGGTTACCCAGGAACCGCTTCTCCCCTTGGGGGCGATGCCCGAGCTGGGGCGCAGCAGCGCCTTGAGAATAGTTAACGACCCCTTGATTTTTTTATTTATTTATTTGGGTTTTTTTTTAATTATTATTCCCCCCCCCTGGATTTTATTGGACTAACCTGCAGGCATTGAGGCGTCTCGCCCCCCGGGAGCGACTCACGAACCTCGGCAAAGGGACGTCTAGGTCCTTTCTGCTCCCCTTGAGGGCAGGAGCGGGAGCCGGATTTGCTTGAACTAGGCCCCAAGGGTGAAGGAAGACGTGGGAGGCGGGGGAAGAAAATGCACATATATATTTTTGTTGTTGTTGTTGCTGCTCAGGTGTCAGAGGATCCCGCGCTGGGGCGGTAAGGTGTAACCGAGCCAGGTTTGGAGCAGCTGGGACCAGCGAGTTTCCTCACGTTCCCTGTAGCTCACGCGTGTTACGTTAGGCTGCAAACGCCTGATCGTGGCACTTTCTGCGGCTTCGCCCTGTCTGGGTTGTTTCAGAAGAGACAGGTGTTTTTCCTTAGCCTGCCTTCTTCCTGGCTGTCCTTTTTATTAGAGCATGTCAGGGGGTTTTTGGGTCCCCCTGCCCCGGCTGACCCCAGGTCCACGGCATCCCAGAGCTGTGCACCTTGGCCAGCGACTGGAGCAAATCAACGTAGCTGAGGCAGAGGCAGCGGAGCGCTTGGGCCTGCAGCAGCTGAGGCTGGGCTGCGGTGCGTGAGCCCTCAGGCTGCATGAAAAGCCCGGGCACAGAGCCTCTTTAGTCTGTCATTTATAAGTTTATTAATATCCTATTAGGCTTTCGGTTGGACATGCTTATCTCCTAGCTGCCTGTAGAGCCTTAACTCTGCTCCCCTGTTTAAATATGTAATGCTGTGTAATGAGATGTGCCTCTGCTTTTCCTTCAGTAATAGCAGTGCAGGATGGGGAAGGATCTACCTGGCCACTGAGTCCTGCCTCCTGCTACTGCAGGTAAATGAGGGGTGGTTATTCCTTCTGCATCTGGGTATACCTTCGCCTCACTCCCTAGTTCTCCGTGTTTTGGGGGAATGCAGAAGCCTGCTTTGGCCCCCGTGTTTGCGCATTTGGACTCTCTTAGCTGTACCCAAGTATCTGCGCTCCCAGAAAGTTAGAGATGGAAACATGGCAATTCCTTACAATGGCAAATGAGCTACAAATGCTGCCTGTGCAAGCCAGCGTGCTGTTTTTATTTCTGTTACTCATGAATGCGCCATACAGAGTGCGTACGGCTTATTGCGCGTTTCTCATGAATGGCTGCACGGGCTCTAGCCTCGCTGGAGCCAGTTGCCTTGTGCGTCTGCAGCGAGCGTATCTCCGGAGCGGGACATGACTGGAAGTGACAGTCGGCTGCGGAAGAGGTGCCTGCGGTCTGCTCTGATGAGGCACGTCCGCTTCCCTGGCCCTGCAGCTGGATGAAGCCTTCTTCTGCAAGGTGCTGTCCTCTGGCTGCCCCTTGTCAGAGCGGGGAAGCAATGTCCAGCCAAGAGCCCCTGCTTGGTAGTAAGGCAGTGTGCTAGAGCTAACGCTGAGTTGCTCCGGCTAATCCTTATGGGAGATAGAAAGGGGCAGGAAAAAGTTATTTGTTTGCCTTCCAGCACAAACATAGCAGGAAGGAGGAGGGGGATTGAGTTGTCCAATACGAAACTGGGTGTCATGTTAACCTTGCAGTATTGATTGTGGGTAGTTCCAGTTAGGATAAAATAACAGGGGTGCAAAAGCTTTAGAAAACAAGGCAAAAACCCAAACAAACACAGTGAAAAGACCTTGTCATTCTGGGCAGTTTGGATTTCTGTCTGGCAGTTTCCTCTTACGCATCTGCAAATAAAAAAGCTCTGCATGTTTGCTCTCTCACGAGGGCTGCCCGCATGGAGGTTATTTGCTTGAGAAGGGCCAAGGCACCCAGGCGGGGATGCTTGTTCCCTGCGTCAAAGGAAATGTGACAGGATACAGCTTATTTAACCTGGGGGGTCTGTTTTGATCTTGGTTTAATGCAGCCTGTGGTGAGCTGTTCACAGGAATGCAATCTTACGTTTATTTTGTTAGGCCTTTTCACGAGCGGGGCCTGCGCTCGTTCTGGTGGCGCTGTCGCGGGTGGGCGGCTGTGCCTCGTCAAGCCTCCCTGTGCCGTGCTCTTTCCTTTGGCACTGACGCCGGCGTGCGGCGTGTTGCGATTGCTGTGCACGTTTCTTATCTTCCCTGGGTCTGTGGCATTTATCCAGCCATCCGGATGAGAGAGGCTGACTTCAGCCCCGGGTGAGTTTCTCTGCTGGTGCGTGTGTGTGCCCCCTTTTTAAAATCATTTCTCAACTGCTTCGTGGTGCAACTCGCCACGTGGGAGCAGTCTGCAGCCTGCACTGAGTCATGGCCATCATGACAAGGCTGTCTTGGTGAAGTCATTTATGCTGTATCTTTTTTTCCCCCCCCCTTTTTTGTTCTTTTCTCCTTTTCAGGGAGACTATTTCCTAGCGTCTGAGGCAGTGTGAACCCACAGCTCTACCCTGTGTCCTCTCTGGTCTGGGAGGAAGCATGTGCATGGGGGAAGGAGGCTGAAGCTGGCAGAAGGCAGAGAAGACAGGTCTCGCGACCAGCCTCTGCCTGGATTTTCAGACCAGGTTATTCAGTGATAAAAGGGAGGAGGATGTTCTGCCGCAGAACCTCCTCTCCTCCCTGTGCTAGGTGAGAGAGGGTGCGTGCTTTTTAATTAGGGCGCGAAGATACGGGACCTTTGGCAAGTCTTTTTAGTAGGAGAGAGATGCTGTAAAGGTGAGCTCCGAGTTTTGATCAAGCAAGAAGCTGGTCCTGTCACTGTGATCCTTCATTTTTGAGTGCAGCCACAGCTCCCAGTGAATCCTTTCTATTTTAACACAGGGCTGTGCTGTGTGATCTGAGAGCTCATAGCTGGGATGAGCGCCAGCTTTGCTTGGATACCTGCATGGATGGAGGTGGTAGCACGTGGCGTGCTCAGTCTGGACCAGCGTGTCTGTCGCTGCTGAGCACTGCGTCCCTCCTCGCTGCAGCATCGGAGCCCCTCCGCCCCGTGCTGGGTGTGCTGCTTGCAGTGCTTTGGCAGAGAAGATGCGGGCTGTTCCCTGTTGGGTAGAGACTCACCTTCTCCAAGGTCACGTGCAAACCGGGAGCGAGTTTGGTGCCCTATTCAGTGTTCCATGCAGTGCAATGGTTAGAAATTTATATGGAAAAAGAAGGAGGAAACAAGGTATTTCAGGGGCTAACCCTGAATTTGGGTGCTACCCCCTCCTTTGCCACAGACTTGGAGCACGACCTTGGGTAAGTGATAAAACGTCCGTCTCTGGCCTCGTCCCCTGCCATCCGATAGGGACAGCAGCACGCGCCTTTCAGGGTTTTGCCATTTGTTTACGAACAGCAACGGCAGGAATGTGTCATCTGCTGTAGTAAACAGTCTCTCCTTCTGGGTGCTTCATTTTTCTCTTTTAATTTTATGTCGATCTTTTCAAGCATGAGGATAGCTTCCTTCTCCATGTCCTGGATAAGCAGAGCTCGCCTCTGTAAGGCAACAGGAACACTTGTTGGTTCGTCTCGTTCTCTGGGAACAGCTGTTGTTTATGAAGGCTATTTTATGCGGGTAGTAATTCTTCTAAAGGACATAAAACACATTGGGTTGGCCTTTGCCTGAACTGTCCCACTCACTTTGTTAGCAGCAAAATGTGTGCCTGACCTGAGCAGCTGTTGTCTTTCGGTGTCACTTTTTTGCATAAAACTGACAGTGAAGACTCACTGATGCTCTGCTCTGGCTCTCCAAAACTATTGGAGAGCTGGAAGGAAATAGCTTGGATACTGAAGTGATAAGTGCTACAGAAATGCCAGACGCTGTATAAATAACTAAGCTCAGCCCCCGGCCCTTCCTGAAGGAAGGATGATTTGCAGAAATACTTCAACAGATGGTCTGAATTTGGCTCTGGAAAGGGGAAAAACATGCCAGGACACTTCCGAGCTCTGTGTGGGCGCATGCCCGCGCGCAGTGTGCAGCCAGCCGTGCTGCTCCCGTGAAGGCCGAGTGACTTGTGGAGGCCCGGGCTGGCTTGTGGGAGGATGGCAGCAGAGCCGATGCGCTGCTGGGCAGCTGGGGAGATGTCTGTTAGCCGAGTGGAGGCCACGGCGTGGTCTAACCCAGGGCTGTCTCTCCTGCTGAGAGGTACCTGTGCACGTGGCAGTGCAAATTGGGGTGGTCCGGAGCTGGGAACAAATGGATCAGCTGTGGCAAAGAGCAGCTGCTGCTCGGGCTGTTCTTTGGACACCCCGTGTGTATGCACGAGCTGGCCAGCTCCAGGGTACCCTCAGTGGCCTTGGCGTGGGAGAGGGTTTCTGCATCGTGGGCAGCAATGCTGACGGGCTGCGGCAGAGCTGGCTGTGCTGCCCAGGCTCCCCTCTCCATCCCCCTGACTGGGTTACTGCTCCTACAGGAAGAGGAGCAGCCGATCTCCCCGCTGGCACTGGTACCAGACCTGGTGCATTGACATCCACCATGGCAGCCGTGGGGTGGTGCACCATCGCCTGCGGGCTCTGCCCTGGCACAGGTCTCGCCTCCGCAGCCACAGCTAGCTCTGATGAGGATGGCAAATTGGAGCCTGGACCCCCGTCCCAAGTCAGGAAGGCTGGGGCAGAGCAGTCCAATCTAACCACCATTAGTCTTGCAACACAACGTGCCTGTTACGCCGCTCCTGGCAGGATGGTTAACAGTGCCCTAATGCTATTGCTGTTTCCACAGGGCTCCTGCCATGCGTGGCTTCTTGTTGTAATTCTTGGCCACTCTGTGTGGCTTTCCTTATTCTTAAACAGTGCAAGATGAATCTCTTTGCCGAGGGTGCTTCTTGTCTCAGGTAAATTCATGTGCATCCATCTGGCAGACAGCAGCATTGGACTGTGCATGGGGAGTGGCCAGGTAGGACTTGTTTAACGTGCAGAGAATGACTTTCCAAATTTGACTTACCTCACTTCTTTTCCCTTTTTTTTTTTTTTTTCCTTCCTCCCTTGCGTTATCCATCTTCTGCTCTGTGCAGGCAAGCTGGTGACCAGGACCGCGTGTGGGTTTTTTTATTTGTCTGTAGCCTTCTCAGCGTGTTGTCTCCGTGCTGGGAGCTCCTTGCCTGCCTCGCAGCCGGCTGGAGTCTCCGCTGATTCACAGTGCTCTGGGTGAGACAGGGGCTGGATTATGCCACAGACTCAGCACCTGCTAGGCAGTGATTGCAGTCTCCTCGGCGATTCCCCTGCTCGTCATGGAGCACGTATCAGTTTCCCCTGAGGAAGCGCTAACCTCTTTAGGAGGAACGTGACCCATGCGGAGCTGTTGACGTGCATTTAGCCAGGAACCGTTTTGTTGTGTGCTGAACAGCTCGCATCCCTGTTGTCGTAAGCAAGCAGCTGAGATAGGAGGAGAGAAACGTGGTTTATGATACAGGAGCAGAGCAGGTACGTTCGCATATCTGTGCAGCAAAAGGACTAGCAGCAGCAGCAGCAGTGTCCTGTGCTGTCCTGTGGCTGAGAGGCCAAGCATCTTGCTTGAACGTGCCATTTAACTGGTATTTCTTCTAGCGCACTGGAGCATGAGTGACACTCTGCTTTCAGCAGTGGAACATAATGGCATAAGGTACCTTCTGGAGGAAGGTGTGTCCTTACTGGAGCTGTTGCAGAGCGTTTTGAAACCTGGGAAGACGTCCTCTGGGAACCCTGTTCCTTCCTTAGGTCTCCTACACTGATTTTGTTCAGTGCCCGGAAGCCAAGGGCTGCTCCTTGCATCCCTGGCTTCTCTGCAGGTGGTTTTGTGATGTTTTATTGTTGGTTGCTCCAGTGCCTCCATCGGTCAGTCTGCAGGCAAGGTTACCTGGTCCCCCTTAATCTGGCGTGTGCCTGGGCTGCCACTGAAAGGCTCAGCCCCTGATTCCTGCTCCTGTCTCTCGTTTTGTGCCAGCACTACG